GTTATTAGAACTGGTCACTTATTTAACACATAGCAATGATTAAGGCTAAAAAGCCTTACAATTACCAAATGATAATTGCAGGGGTATGTGCCTAAAACTCACTTGATCGTACGACTGTATATGTGATGCAAAGCAGTCAAGAAGAGCTGCGTAGTTGCACGGGCTACAGCGTAGCGACGATTGAAGGCAGGCAGACTACCCCAGCTGGCTCTGCACCACTCAAGGTCAACGGTAGCAAAGCTGCCAAAGGCCGCTTTCTTCCTTTTTCTTTATCGCTACGATTAAATTCGAGGAAGAAACAATCTAAAGATCAAATAGAGCTTTAAAATGTTCAAAGCAAACAGCCTAAAACGGAGTTTGCTCTAATTCAATAATTTCCGGTTTTTGTTTTACGTTCAAGTACCAACATTTCAACCGAATATAGGGTCATCCAAAACCCCGTGGACGAATTTTCATTTAGATTCTAAGTTAAAATTGTCCCAGTTTTCATTACTAATTTATTCTAAATTAATCTCATTTTCCATTGCCTTTGCCTACAGTACGTGGTTGCAGCCTAAGTCGTCTTGTGGATTCATTTCAAGCAGATGCATCGCTAGCTCAGCTTAAATCAGTAGATGCCTGTTTCTCATGCACAGCAGCCTAAACAGTGATACTAATAGAATAATTATTGATATGCCTACAAGCCCGGCGGGTGCGGGTGGGCTTTATCTTGTCCTTGATTTACCAACCGTACGCACTACGCATCTCATCAGTCTTAGTAATCAATCGGCGTTCTTGGAAAGAAGTCTATTGGGAACGATGATCCTAGCAAAAATTATATTTGTGAAGACTAGTGAGAGTTTTATCTGTGGAATCAGTGTAGACCTTGGAAATTTTGACAGATTTGAATAAAACAACGGCAGACAAGGCATAATGCTACGTTATCCCATGCCAACTAGTTTCTAGCATGATCTGTAGCGAAGATGTCGCGTTGAGAAGGGATATGTTCTCGCCGGTGATGTTTAATTATGTAAATCACCGAGGCGATGTAATTACGCTGTATCGTATCTATCCAGCTGTCTATCGCACATATCTATGAATAATTAATTCCAGTAACGCTATTGCGTCAAGACGAAGCAGTTCGCCAAATTGCCTACTTCGGCTACTATCGTTTATTGTCATAGTATATGACATTTAGTATATGACTTCTTTTATGTCATAGTATGTGATCTTTAAGTTCTGCTATGATGATGTCGTAAGACTAACATGTTGTGGGAATTTCAATACAACATAAAAATTATATGTTTGACATCCAGGACGAAAAATGTGTCGCTAGGCTTAAATAGTATTCCAATTGTGAATGTGAATTAAGAATGCAATAAGGAGGTAGGCTTCCTGGCTCAATCACGAGCAATAGGCTCCATCATTCACGCTCTGAGCGCACACAAAAATGTCCTTGCGCGTTAGGGAGATCGAAGACTGAAAAATAATTAAAATTATAAATCACAAAAACGCTGATGCTTTTTTTCTCCAAAAGACAGATCAATATTAAGGTAGTAGTGGCGGGAATTATCCGCAACCTTTATATAAATCTATCAAAATGTTCATCGAGATCACACTTCTTCTGGCGCTTCTGGCTTTACTGTTATTATCATTCAGGAAGCCGACGCGTATGCCACCAGGTAAGCATACTCGTTCCTCTGCCACAAATACAATGATAAATACAAACCTTTTCTCCAGTTAACCACCACGATTTTTTAACCACCACAATCTTGAGCATCAAGGGTTTTTCCCGTCTTCGCGGTGTAAATTCATTTGAAAAGGTTCTCACCAATATTGCTCTACATATTGTAGAGCAATAAACGAAATTGTAGTTAGTTAAATGCCACGTTTATAATAATCCTTTAATAAAAAAAATAATAAATATTTCGGTATAGCAAAATCGAGAAGTATCGTCAGCTTTAAAAAAATAGAATTTAGACTAAGATGGAGAATGAATTTGAAGAAAAATTTGATCCTATGATTCAAACTTCATAATTCTGAGAAATGTAAATAATTATCTGTCCGATCTTATTTGAAGTTTTTGATATTACAATAAACTACGTTTCTAACGGTGTAAGATCTAAATTATTTTTTACACACGCAAAGCTAGGCCATTAGCTCAAGGATCGCCTGTGTATCCAACAGGTACTTTCGGGTGGCCGGTTTTAGGAGAGTTGCCGCCACGTTCAATTCCCATCACCGAACATTTGAGGAACCTCAAGAAAAAGCGAGGGGATATTTTCACGTGGGTTGAATCTTGATCTTCAAAAAACAGTTTTCAAGCATAATTTTTACGAAGAACAAACTCTTCATTGACAAAAAATGCATTCATATAACTCGCAAGATTTATTGTAGTTCTTTTCTAATTACTTATCAGTGAGATTTTAGCCCTCGATAATCCTATTATATGTTTACAAGTACGAGATGGTATCAAGCTCCTCTTGGTTTAATATTTTTATAATTATTAGGGTTAATTAGTTTTTCAAAGCGATCAATGTTTACTGAATTGCACTCAATTAATGGTGTTAGCGTTGGTTCAATGCCATTTAATATCAAACAGGGTCAACGGGAATGGTGTTTTAAATGGCAGCGAATGCGATTTTTGAAGTATGAGCGTTTGAATCTTACATTACATTTCCCATCCTCTAAATTTTCACCCTCAGGACGAAGTGGGGCTCTCACCGCATCGTGGTCGTCACCGACTACAACCTCATCAAGAAGGCGTTCAATCATCCAGACATCCAGGGACGCCCGGCATTCTTCTCGTTTGATATGTTCATCTACTTCAAAAATGCTGGTAGATTCATTGCACATGTACTTTCGAAGATTTCTTTATTTTGTTTGATCAGGCCTCAAATCGAGTCGGGCCTGCTCATACTTATGTCGCTCATACTAGTGAGCGATTTCAATCGTCCTTACAGATGTTTTGTCTCTATGGTACTTTTCTACTTTTCTTTATATTACTTATGGTAAGTGAAAAATAAGAATACAAATTATTTTTTTAGAGTGAGATATACACCGATATAGCTGGAAAACACTTTCAGCGATACAGTGTAAAGAAAATATGTTTCACCATTTTTTGTTCCTATGAACGAAATGTGCTTTTAATCGGGGTAATGATATTTAAATGTATTTGAAGTTTCATTTCAGTGGATATTCGTGTAAAATTGCTTCAAATCATTATTGCTTTAGTTCACGTACTTTGTCATTGTAACGTACATATATGCATGCACGGAGAGAAATCCTGTATAGCGCAGTTTGTGGGACCTTGCGGATTATTTAATTAACCAACTGAGTCGTGGTGCGTGGTTTTTCACTATACATTTTATAGGAAGTAAAAATGGATAATTTAAAGTTGAATTATTCAATTAGTATAACGTTATATTGAAAGTTTTTAGCACTTTTTATTAACAATTCTGTTACAGGTATAGTGAGAAGCCATGGTTCAGTGTGGACCGAGAACCGGCGGTTCATGTTGCGCCACTTGCGTGATCTCGGTATGGGCAAAACAGCGCTCGAGGGCTCCATTCAACAAGAGGCCGAGATGCTGGTGGATCACTTGGATAAAACCTGCGTCGGCAAGCCTGCCGTCATGGATCACTCCATCAACTGTGCTGTGGTCAACGTCATCTGGCAGATGCTCGCAAGTAAAATGAATTTAGGAAAATTTTGATAATGCGATTTTTTTGACACTACAAATGAAAAATCAAAAGAATATTAAGGTTGCATGATTACCCGAGATTCTTTTCCTAATTTGGACGCTGGAGGAATTTTGTTATATTTCAGTTGCGTGATCATTTCATCTAGAGAAGTAAACTATACGTGCAATAGAGGGTGGAATAGGAATTGTAGATGATATTCCCGAACAAGAAACCATGATAGAGTGAATTAACATAATGATCTATTTTCAAATATTTTTCATACCTTAACGTTATTCCTGTTTTTTTTTCGAACATATGAATGGAGATGTATTAGTCTTATTTATTTGACGTTGAGGAATTTTTTGCGAGTGCCTGTATCACAGACATGTGATTTTTATTCTAGACAAGCAATACACGTGCCTTTTATTCTAGGCAAGCGATACGACGTTGAGGACAAGTTGATGCTGTGGTACAGCGGCATGATTGAAGAAAATTTTGCCATAGTCCAGGGACGTGTGTTTCTTATCGACGTGTTTCCTTGGCTGGCCACAGTTCTGCCCTCTTTCATCCTAAATAAGTTTTTCAAAGTTGATGTTCTCTGTAGGAATCGAGACGAGATCCAGTCGATGTTCAAGGTGAGTGTTCCTCTCTGTGACGCATGTCTTATCTAATCTAGCTTGGCTGTTCCCATGTGTATAGATTGTTATCATAACAAATGTAGATTGGCTTACCGTAAAAATTATTTCATGTGTCGATTTTTCTATTGGTAATTATGTCTATTTTAGTTGTGTTTTTACTTGTCTGCATGCAGTACGACCCAAGAAATCGTCAACTTTCAGGTGACGTGTCTAATATATATGAAAGTATGCTTGGGCATTTCAGCATTGAATTTTATAACATAGATGTTGAAAACAAATATTCAAACCACTATTCTTCTCATCTGCCAGCAGATTACGTTAATCATGAGATCAAACTCGAGTTCAAACGAGGACTACGAGAAAAAGTTTTCAATGAAATGAAAAGTGATTATTATTATACCACACTTCCTAAGTCCTAGTTAATATAAACATTTTTATGATGATTTTATGTTTCTAGTATGCTGGTTAACTGAACAAATATGTAAAAGTTCAAACGACATAAACACATTTCAATTAGAAATTTTACTTACGAGTTCTTCTTTTTATTCTGCGTGAATCTAAATACTGAACAACGGATCATTCGTTAACGTATCAACCATAATCGCTCTTTTTCCCTATACAATCGACTCGTGTGATTTAACTTTTGTTATAGAAATTTATTGACGATCACATGGCGACCCTTGACCCCAACAACCCTCGTGACGTCATCGACCAGCTGCTGCTGGAGCGCGCCCACAGAGATGCCCCTGACTTCCTCACTTCTGAAGACGGTAACGGGTGTAATTTTTATCTTTTTAAAGACTGTAATAATTATATTAATATACAAAATTGGTAACGATTTCAAGACGATAACTTCGATAATGGTTTGCATGGTCACAAATTGAATATTTGTTTTTTAACTCAAAAGGAAAGGGAGTGTCAATATGATTTATAGTGTGCTTATATATTAGGTATTAAGTTGTCCATCGAAAACTGCACAGAGTTTGTACAGGGGTTGGATAAAATAATTGGAACACTACACTTATTAGTACCTTTTCTTTAAAATCCTCCTCTGTCCAAAATATTCATCAGATTTTCGTTATATTGGTATACATACATAATTAATATATGTTGTTTTTACTATTACAGGTATATTGCACTATCTATTCTAGATTTATTTAAAAATTAGGTAAGATGCGTGACTTAACTGATTTAGAAAAAGGGCAAAGGGCTCGCATGACAGGAGCTTCGATCACCAAAGTCGCTGAGGTTTTCGGTTTTTCGAGGGCTACTATATCAAGGACGATGACGCAATTCGAAAAACAGGGGAAAACATCTAATAATCGCACTAAATGTGGTCGACCCTCAAAGCTATCTGATAGAGATCGAAGAACATTAAACCGCGTTATGAAAAAAATAGGCGATCTACGGCTACTAAGGTGCGTGCAGAGTTAAATCAGCATCTCAGCAATGAAGTTTCTACCAAAACCGTTCGTCGTGAGCTTCATAAGGGTGGCTACCATGGAAGAGCCGCTATCAGGAAACCTCTAATTTCTTCTGGAAACATTCAGAAGCGGATGCTGTGGTGCAAGGACCACAAAACCTGGTCTCCAGACCTGTGGAGGCGAGTAATATTCTCAGACGAGTCCTCCTCCTACGAGTCAGACGAGTCCTCAGTCCTCAGACGAGTCCCTCAATATTCTCAGACGAGTCCTCCTCCTGTCTGGATGAACTGGAGAAGGTTTTGATGGAAGAGTGGTTTAAAGTTTCAATAAAACAAGTCAAGAAGCTGTACGAATCGATTCCCAGATGTATTGAAGCTGTTTTGATGGCTAAAGGGGGTCCAACTCCGTATTAAATAAAGTTTCTCTAAATTTATCAGGTGTCCCAATTATTTTGTCCAACCCCTGTATGATCTAAGTAATTTGCGTAAAGTCTGAATCTATTTATATAATTTCTGGCAGAATAATACATAAATTTTATTTGTAAATGTTATTGTTGTCTAACGTGAGAGTACTTAGAAGAGATGATGATATAAAAAAAATGTAACTCAGTACTCACGGCAGTGAGTGACAGAGAGCGCATTTTCTCGTCGACGAAAACGTGAAGTCACGGACAGACGGAAAGACAGACGAATATGACGAGCACAATAGCGCCTTTTTCCATAAATGAGAAAATGCGCTAAAAAGATGAAATTTCGATGCACACTCAAGTTTCAGTTCACTACAACGATTTTAAGTCGTGAATTTAATTGTTTATTATATGTATGCAGAATACAGTTTTTAATTCAAGTTATAAACTGTATTCTTTTTTCTGCCGGCGCGCAGAATTAGACGTAACGAGCATAATGGGCGACATGTTCGTTGCTGGCTCTGAGACCACCTCATCAACTCTGCGTTGGATGATACTTTACATGGCCATCAATCCTGAGGTGAACATTCTTGATATTAAAGTTTAAAGCAGTAGTTTTAAGTACCCGCCTAACTGCCGTAGCTTTTACGTTCTGCTGAGTTGATTTCAATGGAATTCCTAAAGTTTTTTCCTAACTCTACTAATGAACACCATCACAGGACTGTATCAAGCTGCTCCTGCTATGTATTTTCCATTATTAAACGCCAATGGAAAATATAACAAATTTTTCCTCATCACTTATCACGCTGTAAAATTTTGTATTTATTATTGTGTTCAACTTACATATATTCTTATGCATAAAATTGTCCCACAATTAATTAGCAAGCTAATTTTTATACCAGAAATTTCAGTATCAGCCGGCTTTCCGGAAATATTCTTCGCCACAAGTTAACTTTTGGCACCTCTGCCAACTCGTTGTTTATGCTTCGTATACAGTGGATATGATAGTACACGAGTGTAGAAGCACACTGTTTCCATTTTTCATCTGTTTGCGACGTTTTCACTTGCAGATTACGCGTTAGAGCATGCGCTTCTCAGTTGAGAAAAGAGCGTGTTAAACCCGTTGAAGCGTTTAACCTCGTGTAGTGCATTTAAGCGATGAAGGTTTTCTAGAAAGCGATAACGGGCTGATAATAAGTTCGATTAACCTCGCTTCTGAGCTTCGTTGTTCGAAGTGGGACAAAAAAGGAGTTTCTGTGCTTCTTTTACAGTATATTCCCATTTTTAATACTGCCTTCTTTAGCACAAAATCGTCTTGTCACCATTGTAAGCAGAACATCGTTATGGTTATTCCTATGTCATATAATATATAGCAAAGGAAGGATTTCATACGTAGCATCTAACAGATCAGCAAACTAATTCCGAAGTGGGCGGAAGAAAATAAACAATATGCATGACTTCTACTTCTTGGCAATCGTCATATGCGTGGATAGTTGTTGTTGTTTTTTTTCTCAGATTCAAGCAAAAGTTCATGAACATTTGGACGCCGTGGTTCCTAGTGATCGTCTGCCATCACTTAACGACAGAAATCAGTGAGTAGAGATGAACAGCTGAGATTTTACATCCTGAGCGTGATAAATTATTTAATCATTATATTCAGGTAGGTCAGCTCGGTAATACATTGTCCCAAACTAGTTTATTTATAATTCTTACAACTCTGACATAATAATTCGTCGAAGAAAAGGAAAAGATTCAGGATTAAAACAATTGAACATTTCCACAGACTGCAGTACGTAGACGCCATGTTGCTGGAGGTCATGAGGCTGAGCTCCCTCTTGCCCATCGGCCTGCTGCATACGGCCACCGCTGACGTCACCTTCGAGGGCTATGACATACCGAAAGTAAACCCAACATAATTCTTTGTTTCTTTTTTCAATACCAGAAGATTATTTGATTACACCATTGCCACAATGTTAAAAACGTGATGTTCACAGAAAACTAAAGTTCGTTTCCGTCGTGACGTCTAATTCATATCCCAGGGCACGTCGGTTCTCGCTTGTGCCGAAATGTGCCATCGCGATCCCGCTTATTGGAAGCATCCTGACAAGTTCTATCCGGAACACTTCCTCGACGACGAAGGGAAACTCGATGGGAAAAAAGAAGGATTTCTACCTTTCTCTCTTGGTAAACGATACGCAGAAAGCTACTGATGTCGAATTTTCCGAATACCTAATTGCCGATGATCAGTTCCTTAATAAATAATGAATAAAATAAAAATAAATTTGATTATTCTCGCTCATGTGAAGTAAAAATTAACCATAATTAGGCGTTTCCTTGTTTCGTGCTGCATAGAATTTCTTCTGTTGGTTTGTCTCAGGGCGCCGCCAGTGTCTCGGGGAGTCTCTGGCTCGCATGGAGCTCTACCTCTTCTCGACGGCCATCTTGCAGCGCTTCACTATAGAGCCGCCGGAGGGCGTCACGCTCTCGACGGAAACTGATCCGTCGCAGATGATCTTCAACTTTCCAAAGCCCTATGAAGTGCTCTTGAGAAAGAGAATTTAAACGGAATTGTGGTCTGGTACTGTTGACATGACCGAACCGAAAACTTGACGTAATCTTAGCTTCTGAAGTATAACTTTCGTTCAGGAAATTAGCAGAAAAATCCGTCTTTCATGGATCATTTTGATACGTTCATTATTATCATATATAAATCAAAGTAGCTGCGCCATGGAAACAGACGTTCTCGTCGGGTTTATTTATTAGTTGAAGGCTAAAAACCTCTTACATGTCTCTTTGTTTGTTTTATGTGTGATACGACTTAATTTTTTTGGGTGTTAAGTAACGATTTTTGAAAAAATTGCTCTGGCGAGACGACGACTGGAGCTTTTTTCATCTCATTAAACAATTTTGTGTCGCGTACTAATCCAGCACAGCAACGTTTATGGTTGTTTGGGAACTTCTTAAATGAATGAAAACTGGCTAGCAAATGCGATACGAGATCGCACAAAGAAATCACAATATTTCGCTGAGCTCTCATGTAAAATATATTCTCGACATCAGATAACTAAAGATCATCACTATAAGTCCTATGGGCAATATCCAATCTATTCTTTAAAGTTAGCAAACTGGAAAGTAAAATGTCACTGACACGCATTATATTGACTAAGCCACAGATGCCAACTACCCTATAGAAACAGAAATTGTTATGCTATGAAATGTTTGGAAAAATTAGAAAATTTTTTATTTAAACATTTTCCTGTATGTATCATAAGAGGTGACTTTTTGCAAACATGAACACTATCAAATTGAACCGAATTATTAGCATCGAAAAGAAATACATTAAGAACATTACTCTGTTTTATTAAACTTTCAATATCGATCGCCAAAATTCTCGAATATTCTTCAATACTGCATGGGTTCATCAACATTCAGGAAGCTTGACACGATTAACTATATTTGCCTGTGGACGAAGTATGTACATTCTTGCTTCAATTATTTCTTCACGTAATGACTATTTTACGTTAATGAGAACGTAAAAATACTATAAGTAAAACAGATGATAAATAATTGACGAACTTTCGCCAGCTCCAATATCATTAATAGGTTATATGGAGTAGCGATTGATAAATTTCTTTATAACCAAAATATTGCAATTAAATTTCCTTTACTTGAATTGTCATAATGTTACACGTGAATTCCCTGAATTAGCTGTTTATGGTGAGCAACTAATTTCACTCACTGTAAGATCAAATAATTAATTTCCCAGTCAATCACCAATGTGGGCAACGAAGTCGATTATTGTGGGTTATGTCATAACGAGGGAGATCCCACAACTCGATGATTTGGCAGTCGAATTTCCCTAAACAATCTTTACAGATGCACGGCGAACTATCGACTGCGGGTTTATCGCTACAGATCGAAGTAAATGAGAGTAGGCAACTCAACGGAGCAAACCGAAAAAAAAATCATATGCAAACTTGTCGGTTGGATGTTCATCCTATTAAACTAATAAATCTGATGTTAATGTACACTCTAATTTATTATGAAAAAATTAATTCATGATTTTGTGATGAACACATAATAATTAACTGATTATGTTACTGATTAATAATCACAATTAATTACGTTATCACCGTTACTATTATCTAAAAATTTACTTCCTGCATCGTTACTACCATCACCATACCACTATAGACCGTTACTACCAGCACCGTTACTACCAGCACCGTTGTTACCAGCACCGTTACTACCAGCACCGTTACTACCAGCACCGTTGCTACCAGCTTCGTTACTACCAGCACCGTTACTACCAGCACCGTTGCTACCAGCACCGTTACTACCAGCACCGTTGCTACCAGCACCATTACTACCAACCAGCACCGTTACTACCAGCACCGTTACTACCAGCACCGTTACTACCAGCATCGTTACTACCAGCATCGTTACTACCAGTATCGTTGCTACCAGCATCCTTACTACTAGCACTGTTACTACCAGCATCGTTACTACCAATATCGTTGCTACCAGCATCGTTACTACCAGCATCGTTACTACCAGCATCCTTACTACCAGCACCGTTACTACCAGCATTGTTATTACCAGTATCGTTGCTACCAGCATCCTTACTACCAGCATCCTTACTACCAGCATCCTTACTACCAGCAAAGTTCCTACCAGCATCGATACTACCAGCATCCTTACTACCAGCATCCTTACTACCAGCATCCTTACTACCAGCAAAGTTCCTACCAGCATCGTTACTACTACTAGCACCGTTACTACTAGCACCGTTACTACCAGCACCGTCTCACCGCACCTATTCAATCTATCTTTATTCACATTGTCATATTGTTTTAAGTTTGTAATACAAAATAATAAAGAGTTTATTAATTTCGAGTGTGAAGGCGTTAAATTAATATATACTGGAATTGCGCTGAACGTTCTACATGATATCTAACTTGTCTTCAAGACGCCTATTATTATTATTATTATTATTAATTATTGGCCCCCTGTATTTCTATTGCATGTTTCGTATCGTTGATGCGTTCGTTCACAGTATCGAGAATTATATGGTCATTCTACCTCTGCATGGATGACATCGTTCGCCTGTTGTATGTAGTTATTGAACGTCATACACGAATCTCATCGAGGAATTCACTGGTATAATAACCATAAATAAAATATTTCTCTGTATTACACCTTTCGCACAACAAGATGGACAGTGCAGGAAACTACAACGTATAGTCACAAAATAGAGATCAGAACGCGTTCCCTTAACAACAAATGCAGCAAGGAAAACTTCAAGATTCAAGACCAAGCAGCTCGCAACTGCCAATTATTAACGAACAAAGAGGCGCTCCATTTTCTCAATCAACAGTTAAATTCTAACAGAATGAAATCGTTGAACAGTTATAATTGCCAAGAACCGTTGAACTGTAGGGCAACATTTCGATAGCACGCGTCTTTACTGCAAATTTTTTCCCAAAGAATATACTATAGTCATTTAGTATTATTCCTAAAATTTGAATTCTATTTTATCTCTATGTTTTAATCGTTTGCTTTTTACTGACAATTTTGCTTAGAGAAAAATCCTGTTCTTAGCGATCGATGATTCACAAGTCGCATCCAAACCTATTCGTTGCGAGGCAACTCGTTTCACTGTTTATTAATTCAAATTTACTTTTTTCGTTTACTTTCTTCGTTAAATTGTAACTAATTAATGCTGGAGGTGTTCATTGCATGATCGTCTGTAATCAGATCTGAAATAGTTGGCATTAAGAGAAGTGGCATTCCGGCATATTCTTGAAGTTTATGAATATTTAGCGTAGAAAGCTCCAACCTATAAATGTTGAATTGTGTTACGAGCAATAAATTAGGACGTGACATTTGTTTCGTTACTTATTTTTTGTCATTGGGCTTTCTGGAACTGTTTTCCATGATTCAGCATCATATATCATTAAATTCATATAATGTATTCGCTTCTCAACTGTGTAGTGGCTGTATGAATGGTATCGATGTTTGTACATAGCACAGTATAGCATTTTATGGCATAGTATAATTTTAGTTAAAATATAAACCTTTTAGGAAGGAAGCTGGACCATTACTTATTATACTTAAAATGGTCATCGATTTTATAAAGCGTTGATTAAACCGTTAGACCTGTCGCCGATTCTTTAACATCGCGGCATATTTACAACTCGTTGCGGTCTCAGACAATGAACTCGCTGCTCTAATTTCACATTGCTTAACCGTATTATTGTTTATTAAAACTTATCAAAACGGATGTCCTAACGCTTTTTTATGAAAATTATGAGCGATCTGCAACCAGAAATTAAAACATTGATGAGAAAAACACCGATTTAATGTTAAATTCTCTTCGTCAGAACAATTTCAAATGGTTTCGGTACATTGAAAAAGAACTGCAATGGGGCACTTTCCGTCGAGAGCGTGACGCCCTCCGGCGGCTCTATGGTGAAGCGCTGCAAGATGGCCGTCGAGAAGAGGTAGAGCTCCATGCGAGCCAGAGACTCCCCGAGACACTGGCGACGGCCTACGTGAAAAATAAGACCTTACATGACAATTCATTTTAACATGGAAACTCGATTAATTGAACAGGGGAATACTAGTAGATTGAAGCCTTTTACATCACGCCAACAGTAATCCATACGGTAGTTGTTGAATACATTTGTTCTTAGATTTCATGAAGACTTTCGTACAACAAATCTCCTGGAAGCGAGATCAAAGAGAAAAAATTACCGGTCGAGAAAGGTAGAAAACTTTCTTTTTTCCCATCGAGTTTCCCTTCATCGTCGAGGAAGTGTTCCGGAAAGAACTTATCAGGATGCTTCCAATAAGCGGGGTCGCGGTGACACATTTCGGCACACGCGACAACTGCCGTGTCCTGGGACAAGAATTGAATGTATAACGCCGGAGGTAAACTTCGTTTTTCTGTAGCATCAAGTTTCTTGCATCAGGGAGATAGTGTGTTAACATTATGCAATTTGCTAATATTCAAACTAGTTGACGCAGCAAAATATGATGTAATATAAGTGTATTTATGATTACATACGTTTTATTTTAATAAAAAAAGTATATAATATAAAGTTAATTATATTGTTCCAATGAGACAGATTTGACTGAAACTTTTAGGCAAAAGAGAGAACCACCGTGTCGTGAACCATGCATTATGTACGCGTGCCTTTATTTTCATATTTAGTTTTGGTGCTTTGCTTGTCTTACAGTGGAGTCAACATGCTGGCGTTCAATTTAATGGTTGATATAGATGAAAAAAACTCACCTTAGGTATATCATAGCCCTCGAAGGTGACGTCAGCGGTGGTTGAGTGCAGCAAACCAAAAGGCACGAGTGAGCTCATTCTCATGACCTCCAGCAACACGGCGTCAACGTATTGCAGTCTGCAAAATATCAACTCCAATTGTCTAGAATCTAGATATTGCATAAGTTTCACTGCTAAAATTATTTCATAGGTATGTGCAAATTTTGAAATAAACAAATAGGTTAACAACAATATACGTCAAACAAAATCTTCCAGAGTAAATGTGACCAGAATATAACTCAACTATATGAATAAATTCAAATGTTTAATGGAAATTCGAGCATATACCTAATGTACTCAAACAAATATATATTTCAATTGATCAGAATCGGAGTAAATATTCCAATTGATCACTAAATCTAACGTCATAACTTATATACATGTGCTATCTATCAGTGGTTATAATTTCAAGCCCATCTTATGAACGTTTGGTATCGAATAATTATGTTTCGAAGCTCAGTGATAACGATTAACAATGTGATTATCACAAAGAATCGAGGATTCTCTGCTCACTTATTCCTGTCGTCCAGCGAAGGCAGCCTAGTTCTCGGAACAACTTCGTCCAAAATCGAGTGTATTTTGGCCTGAACCTGACAATGTTTAGCAAATTCAATTTATTAAACAGTAACGTATAATGTGCGATTGAGTTCACTCTTTTCTATGAAGCAGAACTTAGGCAATTTGATGTGATAATTACTTCATTAGAGTACTAGTAATATCAGATTATTTAATAAACAGATTTGGATATGAGACATTTCACACTAGAAGCCCAGGGTGGTGTCACCATCCCCTAGGATGGTGATGTTAGAAGCCTAGGATTCATCACCATGCCTTTCAATTTACGGGACAAACTGTAATGGTAAGTTTACTTCAGGGTTGAGGGCCAAGTAAAGGATCATCCAACGCAGAGTAGATGACGTTGTCTCGGATCCAGCGGAAAATATGTCGCCCATCAGCTTTTGGAAATCCAATTCTGCACAGGACGTCAAGTTTGTATTTTATTTTATGTTATTGCTTATTTGTAACAACAAAGTATTTATAAAACCTAATACTATTTGCATGATCGACTTGAAATGCAGCAAATATTTTAGAGAGGCTAAATTCGTCACCATCTTCGGGTGTTAGTTTTCCATCTTGGGTTCTGTCCGTGCGGTGTAGAAGGAAGTGGTCGATGACGTCCCTGGGATTGTCGGGGTCCAGGGTCTCCAAATGCTCATCAACAACCCGCTGGATAATTCAGATTATTAGATTAATAAATCAAATTAGTAATTCAGATTATTAAATTATAAATAACATAGGCTTTGGAAGTTAATTTTGTGTATAATATCAAAACATAAGTAGAATTATAATCTCAGTTTTAGTATAATAAAATGGCATATAACATAATATAGTAGGTCAGCTTTGATAAGGCCTGTCCCAATTCTCAACCACGACCACCTTGTAGATTTAGGACAGAATTTTCACAGCAAGTTGGAGGTTTCGTACCCCGATTCTGGCTCCAATTGATGCAATCTTAACCACTCGGCAACCGCGAGAAGAGTGATAACATAAGAAACTGTTTGAATAGATATAACACCTAAAATAAATATTATTCTAAATAAAAATCGAGGAATTCAAACAATGAAACAAAAAATACATATATTTTTGAGCTTACCTTGAACAAAAATTACTAGATTGCTTAACACGTTGGCCGCGATGTGCGCCATATATGTACACGCCGTACTTCTCAGAATCGCGATGTGTACACATGTGGTACATTCATGTGAAAAATACATATTTTTGTAAAATCTTATTACTCTTTCAAATTTAAAATTTCAATGATGCAATTAAATAGGCATGTTAGGGAATGCTTTGAAGTCAACTACTGCTTAGAGAAATAGTTTTATTTTCAAATGCAAGTAATACAAAAATTACGAAATTTGTGTCCATTGATGAAGCAATATATATATCTATCTTTGCATGAAAACAAAAGAAAATATTTTTTTATTGATCTGAAACTACAACACTGGGTGTTGCCAACATCACCCAATGTTGGCAATACGTGATTGAAAAACAATTATCGCACATGTATGGCTTTCCTTCACAGTCGTCAAAATATTTTTGTACCCTTTGCGTTTCACCTTTGCTACGGCACTTCCCTCATTTGCTGAGAGTATGTTGTAGCATTCATGGCAGCGCATCCTGGCTTTAGTTCCAGTTGGTT